GAGGAAACAATGTGGAGTCTAAACGGTCTCAACAACCTCTACTACCATGTGAAGAAACTAATTTGCGCGTTCATTTATCGTCAATTTTTCTTGAGGGTATTTAAATAGTGATTCTTTATTTCTTCTCGTGTTTTCATAGATATCTTTTTTTTTCATAACTTTTATTTTACTTACGAAATATTATATCATTTTCATTTTTCTTCTTACTTAGGTAAAAAAAAAAAAGGACGCATTCGAAGAACTAATAGCGTATTATATTATAAATTGAACAAATAGCCTAAGAAAAGCTGAACGGAAATCCATTTTTTCCCACTTCACAACTGTGAAGTAACATTACAGGCACTTTCCTCTTTTAATACTTTTTTAGTAGAGAATGTGTCTTACTTGAACGTTAAAGTGAAAATACAAGTGAATGCTCGAATCTATATTTTACCCCTCAATTATTTTTTATTATTTAAGGACTCACTACACCTCCACACATCATTTTTAGATTGCTTAGTATATATTTATATAGCATTCAAATATATTTAAAATGGATAGCAATGAACACCCAAAGGGCTTTAAACCACTTTTGCCGTTTAGTGACTTTTTAGATCAGAGCATCAAGGATAATTTCAAGAAACGATTGGTTTCTTATTCCAACACTGATGATAGTAATGTGATCAATCCCTTACAAAATAGTGATAACCAATTAGCAACTGAAAATTTTGATCTCTTTTCAAACGACACCCTCGCACTTTTTAATGAGTTGGAGTCCTTGTGTGCGTACTATAAGCTAAACGACTGTCTTGAGTTGGTGAACAAAGTACGCGCGGCTGTAAACAAAGAGCTCGATAGGTGTATTATGCGCATTGAAGAGAACTATGAGACGAATTTCAAAAACACAATTTTACAACCCCATTCGACTATTCCCATCCCCATGGCAAGCTACACGGAGGCGCAGCTTGAATTAGGCGACCTTCAGACGATCTTTTCGCCCTGTACCATAGGCATCGAAAGCAAGGAATTGCAGGAAAGAAAAAACGACCTGTTAAGCCAGTGCCCGAAGGAGTGGCCGACGCTGATAAAATTAAAAGTCGTGCAGAACATCACGTCCCATTCGGATCGCCTCCCCACCCCGCTTCCTCGTCGTCTGACGGTGAAAGAGGCGCTTTCGAGCATCACCGGGCTTTTCGCGGAGTCCCTCGCGGCCCTGCTTTCCTGTGAAGTCGTCCGGGTTTACCTGTACGATGATAAAAACAACCTACACTGCTGCGCGACCTTTCCTTTTCACTCCAAACAAGGCGACCCGATGCTCGCGACCTACGAGGAGATCATGCTCGTGAAGGACCTCCATCAGACGATCTGCGGGAAGTGCATCGCGGTCAACGGCAAGGAGGCCACGAACGCGGCGTTAAAAGACAACGACCGCGTGCAAATTCGGCACGAGTTGGCCTCGAGCGGGCTGGGCTCCATCAGAAGCTGCCTTATCTTTCCCATCGTCTCCAGCGACCACCCCAACACCTCTTATGGGATGCTCCACGCCGTCAACAAGGTCTGCGCGCCGCCGGTGGATGGCAAAAAAGGCGTCAATTTCACGACGGACGATGAACTTCTGATGTCGATGACCTCGCGCCTGCTCGGCTGTGTGTTGACTCGCTACCCGGTGAACTATTTCTCCCTACGCGTCGGGAAAAAGATCCGGCAGGCGGTTTTTCCCCTCGAGGAGGCGGAAAACCTCACCCACGCGCACCTCCGCGTTGGGCTTTTGGAGGATTCGGTCGTGGAGGACGCCTCGGGGGTCGCCTCGCGCGCGATGACGTCGATGGAGCAAATTAAAATCCTCCGGGCTTCGGTCACCAACATCTATCAAACCTCCACCCACCGCCAGCGGCTTCGTCGGATGGGAAGTTTGGGCCATTTGAACACAACGCTGTCCTCTGTCGAGTTCAACCTCAACGTGATGGGGGAGCTGTGGAAGACCGGGGTCACGGAGAACGTTATGATGCACCAACAATACCGCGAGCTCGAGGAGGAGCTCAAAAAAACGAAACTTTTGCTCCACAACGTCTTGGACGGGCTGTCCTCCCTGCGGGCCTTTCGCGATGCGGAGAAAATGGCCCAGTACATCCAGATGTTGGAGCTCTACGCACGGAGCGAGAGTATTGATATTTTGACGGAATTCATCCATAACATCATCTGCGAGGAAGCCACCAAGGAGAGCTTTAAGAACGTCGACCCGCAGAACTCCACGGCGTTGTGGAGCGGCCAGACGTTTCTGCCCAATGCCAGCTCCCTTGAGAAAGATTCGAAATCGTCCGGGGATGTCGTACAGGCGAATACCTTGGATACCTCGCCTTTTCTGACATCCACGGAGTTGATCGAGCTACGTCGACATCATGAGCGTCTTAACGCAAAGGTGCCGTCTAAAATTCACTTTGATGGCCCAGGTGGCATTCGAAGCTACTCCTGTGATCCAAAGAAAAAGCGGGAGCAAATACAGATTATCGATGAAATTATGTCTAAAAGCACCGCGCTAAGCTCGACCAACGTTAGAGGGAAATACCAAACACCAAGAAATTCGAGCAAAAAAACAATATCGTCATCGGGAACAAAACTTTCAAGCCCATTTAGGACTGAAACCAGTACTTCTAGCCAACCTTTATCTCAAACGGACTTTTCCTTAAAGCGACCGTTTCAACTGAAATATAAGTAGTCCCTTTTTATGTAAATATAGGACGTCTAATCGACTCGACTGTAAAAATATAACTATAACCATTTCGTCTATCTAGAAGAATAAGGAATTGTAAGGATAGCTCGGGGGTCAATTCCGTCCTTTCCTACAGCCATTATATATAAATGTCTATCTATCTATCTATCTACTAATAGGAAAAATGACGATTCTTATATCGAATGTTTATTTTTCCATACTTGCATTCCGATATGTATCCAAAAGCATTCCAATTCTTTTGTAATACAAAGCGAACGTCTCCCTAAATGTCAATTTCGGAAGCTCCTTCCGATTCTGTGTTGTGTGTTCTCTGTGTCTTTTAATTGCGATGTCCCACAACGCCGCTTTGTATTCTTCTTGTGGGGGTGTCATCTCGAAGGAATAAACAAGCGACGGTAGCCACCAAAATGAATGCCAAAAAGTCCGAAAAAGCGGACAAAAACGCCAAGAAGGCTCAGAAGGCGAATGCCCAGGCGGCCGAGATGGACATCGCCGTCGAGAAGGCCCGCAAGCTGTACCACGAGCACGAAAAAAAGCGCCTCGCCGACGAGTCCGACGACAAGCGGCTTCGCAGCCAGAAGCTGATGCTCGACATCATCGGGAAGGAGCGGCTGGCGAACGAAAAGGCCCTCGTGGGGGCCCTCCGCAAGGCGTTTCTCGAGTCCGAGCGCGTGGCCTTCCGCGAGCACGAGAAGCACGCGCGCTGGCGCCACCTCGCGGACGCCTCGGACCTCCCGGACGTCAACAAAGAGAGCGAGATCAACACCTTCCTGAGCCTCTGGGTCGACCACGAGGCCGCCTGCGATGCGCCGGTGGCGGAGACGGTGGTGATGGTCTCCGCAGGGGCCCCAGGGGAGCCGCACCGCCAACATTTCATCCGGGGCGAGCAGGGGCTCTCGGCGGCCCGCCGCGGGGCCTTTATTCAGGCCGAGCTCCGCCGCTGCCACCAGGCCCACCACCTCGCCGAGGCGATCAAACGCGCGCGGGACGGGGCCATCGCGCGGGACGACCCCCGCGCCCGGGCCGCGCACAACCGCAGCCTCGCGAAGGTCCACCGCCGGCTCCTCGCGGCGCTGGACCGGCTGACGGTGACTGCGCTGATGTACTACGACACCGTCCTCCCGGAGGGCGGGGGGGAGACCCTGACCTACCGCCTCCCCGAGGACGCCCCGGTGCTGAAATTCGGGCTCTGGGTGAAGGTCAAGAACCTCACGCGGAGCTTCCCCTGCCTGGTCTTCCCCGGCATCGACCTCCGGCTCGACCCGAAGCTCCACACCCTGCCGAAGCTCCCGAAGGCGCTGGGGAT